GTGGAGCCGGAGGACAGTGGAGTTTGAGGAGGGGAGAGACCTCAGAAGGGTATAATGCCATGGACTCCACTCTCCAAAGCAGGCATTTCCTCCAGGGGAACTAGGGAGACCCCCTGGAATTACGACTGATTTCCAGATGACAGAGATAATTCCTCTGGAGAAAATGGATGCTTTGGAGGGTGGGCTGTATGACATTATACCCTGCTAAGGTCACTTCCCTCCCGAAACCTCACCCTTCCACAGCTACAGACAGCTGGCCGCTCTAAGGGGGAACTGATATCTATAGTTGGGAGATCCATTCCATATCTCCAGTCTTCACCTGGAGATTGGCAACCATAGAAGGAGAGAAGGAAGCAGGAAAAGAGGAGAGGGTATGGGAATTTCAGGAAAGGGAAAGATTTTTTTGGAAAGAGTAAATAGGGGGAGAGGGACATGAGATGCATCCTGCAAGTCCTTGCGGGTTCTGCTTGTCAGTTTCTAACGTTGAATACACAATTTCATTCCTCTGTTTACCAATCCTTTCCTTTAATCTGCAGAGTGTTCTCTGTTCTCTTGACCAGTTTGCCATTATATCATGTTACTTGGTATTTCTGTTTTCCATTTCTTTATTTCCACTTTTACTCTCTTCCTTCTAATTATTCCTCACATTTTACTTTGATTTTATTGGACAGTAATGACTGCAGGAACTGTAGTTTACAAGAGTTTCAGTTGATATTAGTTCCCAAAGTTAAATGGTATTTCCCCCTATTTTCTAAACTGTATCAATTTTTTTTTCTCTTCCTCCATGTTCTGTGGAAATATATAATGTATCCTGGCAATCATTTGGAACTTCATATCAATCAATATTAATGTCTGGATCCTCTTGTTTTATTTCTGTACCCAAAATGTATTTTAAGGGGTTTTAGCAGCCATGTTCTATTTTTGCCAAGTGATGTTGGCTTATTAGAAGCTATAGGAGCAGAATAGGAGTTGGTGGGGAGAAGAAGGGAAAGTGATTCTATGCCACCTTGAGACTTCCTATGGTAAAGAAAATTGGGGTATAAAAACCAACTCATTGTTGTTTGGGTGTACTGAGAAACATGTTTTCTGTATAGCCTATCACTACCCAAGCACAAACTTATTCCTATAGAATAAAACCATTTATTCTTGTGCTAGCCAGTTTTTCGGTCTCTCACTTGTTCTTCCTAGCCAATCTGCCAACTCTTCCAAGGACAATGAGCACTTTCAGTCATCATTGTCCGTATTATTTTTCTGTACACCTACGGGTCCTTAGGTATGCAGAAGTCCTGGATTTGTTTGCAGGTGGTCCCCTTTCTGTGCCATCATCAGCAATGAGGTTTGCTTTGGGAGTTATTGTATTCCGCTGGAGCAGAACGTAGACCTGGCATGCATGACTGAGACCTGGGTGTGGGAAGGGGAGATGGTAGCTCTCTCTCCCAACTCACCCCTCCCGAGTTCTCAGTCCTTCACCAATCGCGGACTACCATCAATTGCAGACCCACCGCCTTACCGACATGGGAATCCAGGGGCTTGCCTTGCAATGGCTTGCTTCCTTCCCCCATGGTCAGGGACAATGGGTGGTACTAGGGGAACAGCAGTCCAGGAGAGACACACTTGAGTGCAGAGTGCCTCAAGGGGCAGTGCTTTCCCCAATGTTATTCAACATCTATATGTGCCCCCTTGCCCAGATTGCCCAGAGGTATAGGCTGGGGTGTCACCAGTACACTGATGATACCCAGCTCTATCTGATGTTCGGCGGCCAGTTGGACTCCAGACCAGAAGATCTGGACTGGGCACTGCAAGCCATGGCTGGTTGGCTTAGACTGAGTAGGCTAAAGCTGAATCTGGCAAAGACGGAGGTCCTGTGCTTGAGTCAAGGTGATTCGGGGGTGGGGATCCCACACCTGACCTTCGGAGGGACACTGTTGGTACCAGTGCTGGAGGTTAGGGGTTTGGGAGTGCTCCTAAATACCTCCTTAACAATGGAGGCCCAGGTAGCAGCCACTGCTAAGTTGGCCTTCTACCATATTCGGCTGATTCGGCCGTTGGTTACCTTCCTCGACCGTGATGACCTGGCTACAGTGATCCATGCAATGGTCACCTCGAGACTAGACTACTGTAACATTCTCTATATGGGGCTGCCCTTGTCGCAAATCCAGAAGCTGTAGCTAGGCTTCTGATGGGTCTCACTAGATGGGAGCACATCCGGCCTGTGCTGAGGACACTGCACTGGTTGCCAATAGCATACCGAATTCACTTCAAGGTACTGGTACTTACCTTTAAAGCCCTATATGGCCAGGGTCCGACATACCTGAGGGACCACCTTTCCCCATATATACCCCAGAGAGCACTACAGTCGGGGTCTCCGAACCAATTGACCCTCCTGGGCTCCAAGGATGCCAGACTCACTGCTACCAGGGCCAGGGTGTTCTCAGTGGCGGCTCCATACTGGTGGAATGAGCTCCCGGAGGAGATCAGGGCCCTGCAGGATCTTGTACAGTTTTGCAGGGCCTGCAAGATGGAGCTCTTCCACCAGGCTTTCAACTAAGGAGCCGCCCTACCACTGCCACCATCGATCATGGTTGTGGGCCTGGGCCTGCCTCTGAGATTGAACCATACCATCGGGCGACTTAAGAAGATCACCACACTGGAAACTGCCTGGGTGTTTACATATTGTAGAACACCATCTTAATTAATGAAGAAACTATCACTAGCACTTTATGTCTTCTTGTATTTCACTGTTTTTATGTGGATTTTATGGTATTTTTTACCGACTAATATAAGCAGCCCTGAGCCTGCTTGCGGGGAGGGCGGGGTATAAATTGAATAAATAAATAGATAAATCTGCAACAATAAATTCTGTGGACTCTTTCTGTGCTTATTGTGGCCCTTCCCCTTCAAAGAAAGCCCTATAGGGCAGTTTCATTATATGGCTGCATCTCCCAGCTTCAGGGATTGAAGAGACAGGTTGCTGTTTTTCCATCTTGGAAACTGAGCATTGTAGAGAACTCACCTCATAGTGATGGAGTTTGATGGGACCGATGAAAGAGAAAAAAGAGAGTGGTTTCACTCACTGCAGCCTCCTCTGCAGGGTTATTTGTCAATGTTTCCCGGGGTTGGAAAAGGCTGCCAGGTGAACGATGTGGGGAACATGGGCAACCATAAGCACCTTCCACTGACAAAACCTACTTGTTATTTTCTTTTGTCTTTGATATTAAAGTCTGGACTGGTATTTCCAAGCTCAGTGAGGTTTTCAGGAGCTTAGCTGAGATTCTCATTGTTTTCACCCCTTATAGGTGGGAACAGACATTTTGTTCAGTGTCAGGAGGAATTTAAAGGAAGTTTGGGCCACGTAATTTCTTATTACGAACATGTGAATGTTAGTAGAGTCTGATTGTGCCTTTTTAGCTATGCCATAATCGTAACACTTGTTGAGCAGACAACATTTAATTGGTTTTTAGGGAATACAATCTTATAATATTCTCTTTGCCATTTGTATTCTTTTTGTATATGCCATTTATATGTCCATAAATATTTTATGCATTCCTTGTTCAGTTTACAAGCTGATTGCTACAGCAAAATGTAGTAATATCCTGGAAGCATCATTAAAAATAAATAGCAAACTGAAGACACCCCATAGTACAGTTTTTCAAACTGTTGAGGCTCTTTTGAATTATGGGTATCACTGATCATTTACATTTCCCCCCAGTGTTTCATTTTCCCTAAATACCTTAACTTAATCATATAGCAATTGTTATGTACACTTTATGTTGTTGAGGCAGTGCTAATGTACTGTCCTTGGTATTAAAAACTTTTCCTTATTGTGAATCATTTTACCTCAGGCACATTGTATTACATGAAGACAGAGTTAGGCCAACTGTATTTACAAGACACTGCTTCATGGTGAAGATATACTGTCCAAAACTTCAGCTCAGCTAATACAATACAATTCCTATGCTATTCTTTTTCTCTATAAAATCTCTTCAGTGAATCTTATTTTCTGCAAGCTAGCAGGCTGACAGTGCCTTCTGGTAACTTAATATACCACATTTTAACATTGTTTTATCATATTACAGATTCATATGGTGCTCTGTGTGCACCACTTACATGATATACAGATGCTTATGGACAATTCTGATCTAATCTAAATTGTGGACAAGAGATTTGGTTATCATACTAAAGGTAACCTTGAAAAAGCTGTGACAGGACAATGAAGCAGGGAAATGTGAAAGGAAAATGAAAGGACAATTAATGTTTATTTGTTATTAAGCATGTGAACAGTTTTGTTTTCAGAGCCATACAAAAATATTTACAATAGGAAACTAAAAATTCATTCTTGCCACAATCCATCATAGAATTAGACACACCTAAACCCAGTCAGACAGCAATAGGAGAATCTCAAAGTAGATTGGTTTGGATGGATGATAAGGTTTGGAGAGCAGCGGGCAAGCAGGGGAGTGAAGGCTGCAAGGGGAAATTTGACATGGCAGAGCAAGCAAAGCCCCCACCCATATCTTTCAGGATTGGAATACTACACAGAGGTAAGTAATCTTAGTGGCTATAGCTTGCAGTCAGCCAAGAAAGCCCCTCTCTTCTCCATCCACCTAAGAAACACTCTGCTCTCCCTACACCCTTATTAGGAAAACACTGGCTGCGGGTAAAAGCAACAGAGGGGATTCTAATTCACCTATATGTGGCAAAGTAAAACCTTGCAGACGTTCAGATATGATAGTATACACAAGAACATGCATTTCCCCCCACAGTGAACAACTACATAAAAAAGCTTTATGTGTGAAGGAGCTCTCAGTTTCTATGTGTAGCCTGGATGTGAAGCTGGGAAACAATAGTTGGGTTTTTTCCTCCAGCTTAATTAATGTGAAATCTAACTGCATGGAATATATTAAAGGACATCAATTTCCAAACCAGCGAGACAGAATTACTCTGTTTCTGGTTTGTAAAAAAAATATGAAGAGTTAATTTTCATTTTCTTTTGCCCACAGGTCTACCCACGGATAGCGCCGGCATTTTGGCACTACCTGCGGGTAGAAGTGAGTAGCAGGCATTTGAATACTCCAGCATCTATACGTTATCCTTTATTAACTCTTTTTTTAAATCCTAATTTGACCATTATGCAAAATATATAGCTGCCATTTATCTGCTGTTTTCTTTAGTCCTCGTCTTTTGCTAATTTCATACTATGTTGATTTATATGCTATAATGACTAACCCAACTCACAATGGTTTTCACTATATGAAAGAAAACATTTCTTATGAAAGCTAAGGTTGTGTCATATCAAGGTGATATTTTTCACTGCTTTAATGAATGTACCTTGACGTTCCTTAGAGATATAGATTGTTGTTACACATCATTCACAATGCAATCTAACTCCATTTTTGACTCTTTTGTCCTTTAGGAACATGAGCAGCTCAGCTATTCCTCCACAAGATCAAAAGCTCCAAGTGTTATCGTCACAGGCCTCAAACCAGCAACCAAGTATATATTTCATATCAGAGTCAGGACTGCAACAGGATACAGTGGCTATAGCCAGAAGTTTGAATTTGAAACTGGAGATGAAAGTAAGTCTTATGAAAGATTGAAAGATCTTATGAAAGATTGTGATGATGATGCATATGGTAGAAGTAGCATCTAAGTATTCAACATCAAAAATATCAACCAGTTAAATCTATATTACATTACCAGCACAAATATGTATTTTAAAAAAATACACTGTAAATGTGCCTTGCTTAAAAATTAATCTTGACTTCATACATACCCCAAACTTTACGTTTTTATTTCTGAAGCTCATATCTTAGGAATTCAGCAATCACAAAAAGCACAGTAAAGCATCTCAGCCTATTTTTGAGAGTATAAATCTTCAAATTCTTCTGATGGAACACAGACTGTACATGCAGTATTTACTTTTTGTCTGCTTTGTATGGCAGAGATAGAAAATTGATAGGTCGAGACTGACTAGTCTATAAGGGAATAGCCGATTATAACAAGGGGCTTTCATTAAGTGTCCAACATTCTGCAAACATCATAGAACCGAATATCTCTCCTAAGACTGATGTAATAGAAACAGCTATGTGTATTTTGTTGTTGTTCAGTCACACCGTTGAGTCTGACTCTTCATGACCCCATGGACCACATCATGCCAGGCCCTTCTGTCTTCCGTCGTGCTCTGGAGTTTACTTAATTTCATGTCTGTTGCATCGATAACACTGTCTAACTATCCTACCCTTTACTGTCCCCTTCTTTGACATTCAATCTTTCCCAGCATCATGGGTTTTCTCCAGTGAGTGCTCCCTTCTCATTTGGTGGCCAAAGTATTTGAGCTTCAGCTTCAGTATCTGGCTTTCCAGGGAGCAGTCAGGGTTGACTTCTTTTAGGATTGACTGATTTTATCTCCTTGCAGTCCAAGGGCCTCTCAAGAGTCTTCTCCAGCACCATTATTCAAAAGAATCTAATCTTCGGTGCTCAGCCTTCCTTATGGTCCAACTCTTGCAGCCATATATTACTACTGGGAATACCATTGCATTGACCATACGGACTTTTGTTGGAAGGGTGATGTCTCTACTTTTTATTATGCTTTCTAGGTTTGCCATCACTTTCCTCCCAAGGAGCAGGCGTCTTTTAATTTCATGGCTGCAGTCACCGTCTGCAGTGATCTTGGATCCCAGGAACATGAAGTCTGTCACTGCTTCCATTACTTCCCCTTCTATTTGCCAAGGAGTGATGGGGCAGATGTCATGATCTTTGTTTTTGTTTTTTGATGTTGAGTTTCAAGTCAACTTTTGCACTCTCCTCTTTTACCCTGAGCAAGAGGCTCTTTAGGTTCTCTTCAGTTTCTGCCAGGGCTATTTTTGGGCTGGGACGCACTGGAACGGTGTTCCGGCTGCCTTCTGAGCCCGCCCTTCCCTTGCCAAAAGCCCTGCTCCGCTTCTTCTGCGTGAGCAGCAATCCCACTGGGAGCAACATGTGCAGTTAACATGGTGTGCTAACAAGCATGAACTTGATTCCAAAGGTCACACTGTGGTCCAGCGCTTTTAACTCTACACCAGCAATTTTGACTGGGTAGAATCCAGCACACTGCAAAGACAGAACTAGCCAAGCATGGCTAGTCACCTGCCGCGTCCCTCAGTTCAAGACAGCTGTATTCGAGCAATGGATCCAACTCTAGAATCTGTCCAGGCATCTGTAGCTGATCTGTAACATTAGTTGATGGGAGCAATACAGACCTGTGGAAAACGGAGCTTAGTTTTCAACATCTTTTGTGACACAAGTGGATGATGGTGTTTGAATGCTCCAGCAGTTATTTTGGATTGGATTGGACTGGGCCATGCTGGACCATAGAGGCTGGCTGGTTGGCTGGCTCTCAAGCAGGTGAGTGAACAGTTGAACTGAAGAGCCTGCGAATGGTTCAAGCTGTTGCTGAGAGAAGTGGCGGGAGGGCAGAAGGAGATGCCACTTCATCCCCCCTTCCCATGACACCCCTCTCCAACTTTCCCCTTTTACAATAGTGTCTCTAGGCAGAGGGCCGTGCCGTTTGGAGCTGTCCCTTGACAATGCATCTCTATTGGGACTTCGGTGAGAGCTCTACAAATGTTTCTGTCAGTTTCGGTTACTTGGGAGTAAGCCTCATCTCAGTTTTATTTCCGAGTAAGTAAGCGTAGGATGGTGCTGAAAGGGGAGATGCTGGGATGGCCACTGCTTTTGAAGAGTTCTTTTGTTTTGTGTCATCTCCTCCCCAACGTAGTTGTCTTTTTTCTGTTGCTTGAAACACCCAATAAAAGGAGATTCCTGATTTTGCTTGCATTTTTGCTGGGGCAAGGTGACTTTTTTTCACCTGTCTTGGGTAGATACGTGACTTGCAAACAAGCAAATTGTGCAGATTTTTCCCTCTTTGCTATGAGTGAGATGAACAGAACTTCTCCAGCTGAATTGCTATATAACAGCTCTTAAAAATCCAGGAGCCCTAACAGAGAAGAAAAGAACCCTACTTAGAGAAGGGTCAGGTTTTCCCCTTGGGCATGGGATGTGAAATAACTTCTCAGTTGTCCTGAGTCATTTGTTCCTTTATTCAAGGGGCAGACAGTAGCCCCATTTAAACGTTTTTTGCACTCTCCTTGGGGTTGGGGGTGTTTTCTTTGCTGCCAGACAAGTTGCTGTTCACTGTGAGGCTCTGTGGCAAGTATTTTCTTACTTGAACATCCATTCTGTTATAGAAAAATGAGCTGAGGCAGTGTATGTATTTCATAGCTTCTGCTGTTCCCTGAGCTGAAGCTCTCCAGTTACTCTAAATCACCTCATAATCTTTGTGGTAAGCTATGTCCCTCTTTCTAGGTAGGATCTAAATTACTGCTCTTGGTCCCTATTTCCCTGCTTTTTTCCTTCCTTCTTTTCCCTCCTTCTTTCCC